AGTTTAATAATATACTGATTTAACATTTCCTTTCTCTGCAATAGTGAGCGTCTAAATCAAGTGACAAAAGATAGAGAATCAATTATTTTTGAGTTTGAAAACATCTCCTGAGATCAGAATTTCTATATTTATAGGCTTGATATATATATTGGAAAGGCAGTAACTGGATGGAAATTTTCAGTGAAGTTACGGGTGTACAATACGCTATAGGGAGATACCTCAACAGAACAGCTGCAGTGCTTAGTGGAAAACACTTTCAAGAGTTTTATCTGAAGTACTGCAAAGCTCTTAGATAGTAATTTTAATTTCTGGGAAGAAAACAATCTCAAAAGTGTCGTAAAACCAATGTTTGGTATTTAAACCATTCTGAAGTAGAAAGCTCTTACCAACTTCCATGAGCCCAACTCAATCTCTCCACATGAAACTGTAGCAATCTGTGTATGTATACATGTGCACGCATTTTAAATATATATATGTGTACAAACACAAATACATAATACTGGAATGGGAATAAAGGATTAACACAAGACATTTTATTTCACTGATCTTTGAAGTATCTGAGTTAGACTCTCTGTGAACACTTCTGTTTGTACGCGACCTGGCATTGACAATTGTAATGTAATGTAACCGGGGAAGGTCTTTCCACCTTCCAGCCTGCGCATTGGATTTTTTAGGTGAGACACAGTGTGCGCGGAACTGAGCCCACCCTTTAATCCTAAGGTTCATCTGCCGGGGCCAAGCGAGCTTGGACGGTGGCAGCGAGGTCCTCAGGACGTAGATGGATTGCCTTACAGGGCTAACGAGCTCCATCTGCCCGGGGAGTGGCCCCGACCGGGAATCGAACCCGGGTCTCTGCGGTGACAGCGCAGCGCCTTTACCCCTAGACCACCAGGTGCTCCCTCATTGGCAATTAGCAGCTTGTGGTAAGGATAAAAGCAACGCCATTCAAGAACAACAAGTCAGAACTTACTGTAAATAAGAAATGGAGAGAAAAGCGATTGTGTTATCTGTCTCAAGGAAATGAGGACACACCAGATTGTCTCCAAAACATAACAGACTGAGGCTTAACTGAGGTGAACACGTCTGATGCGTCTGAATTTTATCAAGGGACTCAGACACCGCTGTGAGCACAGTGTTCCTCTCTTAGCTGGCGGGACCAGCTGAACACGCCACAGTCAGTGCAAGGTGAACCGAACACAGGGATGTGCCTACCCAGTAATTTCGCCAATCCCACCTCACAACAAGCAACACCCTCACAGGCACCTCCTAAACTGGAGTAACTAACCAAGCTTTGGGACGTCCCAGCGATCGCCAACGCTGTTTTAACTGCCAGTATGCGCGGCCCCTTCAACCTCCGAGGAAGGCGGCTCCGCTCGCCGCCCGTTCCTCGGCCCAGGGCCCGGCCGAGAGCGGAGGCGGTGCCAGGCTCGGGCCGGGCGCCTCTGCCGCCGCAGCCCCATCCCCGCGTCCCGTGGGCCCCGCCACCCGCGCCCCGAGCGCGGTGCCCCGAGCGCCGCCCGCATGGCCGGGCTGTGGGCGGACATACCGGGTACGCGCTGCGCCCACGGCCGCGGCTCCCCGGCCCCGCCGCGCCCGCGCCGCGCCCCGCACGCACCGCCCGTGAGGGAAGGCGGGGACTCGGCGGGCGGCCCGGGCCCTGCGAGAACCCCACCCGCCCCGGTTGTGCTTCGCTACTCCCTGTCCCGCCGCATCCCCTGCGGGTGCTCCCCGCTCCGCGATCCCGCACGCCCCGCGCCAGGCTGGAGTCCCGCTCCGCCCGCCCCGCCACTGCGAGTGGGTCAGCTCACGGCCGCTCCCCCCCGCCGGGTGCGGCGGAACCGGCCCGTACCGCGAGGAAGGGCGCCACGGCCGTTCGCTCAGGTGATTGCCAGCTCCGGCGGTCAATCACCGCCCTCCCTCTCCTCCCGGCGGCCCAGCGCCCGCCCCCCCGGGGTGGGGGCCCTCGGGAGCGGCGGGCGGGAATGTTTACAAACAGGCGCCGGGAGCGGAGGGGCCGCCGGGGGCGGGGCCGGTGGTTGGCGCAGCCGCCGAGCCAATGGGCGCGCGCGGTGCTCGGCGGAAGGGCGGGGGCGGCGCGCGCGGAGCGTTCTCTGCCCGGCGGCAGCCGCGGCTCGCGGGCGCGCGCGGCCAATGAGCGCCCGGCCCGGGCAGGGAGGGGGCGCGAGCTCCTGAGCACGAGCCGCTCCCGCGGCGCCCCCTCCGCCCCCGCCCCCCGCCGCCCTCAGCCTATCCCGCCGCGCTCGGCTCCGCTCGGCCGCGCTCGGCGCTCCTCGGCTCCGCTCGGCTCCGCTCGGCTCGGCTGGGCTCGGCTTCACTCCCCGCTGTTGGGCGGGGAGGGCGGCCGGAGCCCGGGGGAGGGGAGCCGCAAGGACATGGGCTGGCTCTGAGCGCTGGGGGAGGAAAGCCGTCGTGCGTGTGCCTCCGTAGATTTTAATAACTGTTTG